CAGCTCACTAAGACCTACCTTGGTTAAATTTAGATTATCTTGGGCTTTTCTTTTCTCATTGTCTGTATCCACCTATCGGCAACCCCATGCATTCCTACAGACTAAGCCATTTTGAGTTCTTTTACAGAAGGACACCACTCCTGGCCTAGAAACCACACTGGTCAGGTATCTACCTTACCTATCCTGCCTAAGGTTACTTCTCTGCTCACATTTTTTTCCATTCAAAAATTTACACTTCCTCCCCTCCTCCCATTCCCCACCTGCTCCCCCTTTCACTCTCCTCCCTTTCCCTCCCTCCTTAAGAGAGGGGAGGATATCCTGCCCTGTAGGAAGTCCTCCATCCAGGCCTAAGAAGGTAGCATCCAAATGGACAAGGGAACCAAAAAGCCAGCACATGCAGTAGAAACAGGTCCTAGTGCTATTATCAATGGCTTCTCATTCTGCTCCCATTGGCAGTCATATTCAGGGAGTCTTGTTTGATCACATGCTTGTTCAGTTCCAGTCTAGCTGGATTTGGTGAGCTCCCATTAGATAAGGCATGCTGTCTCAGTGAGTGGACCTACCCATCATGGTCCTTGCTCTTCTTCTCCCTCCTTCTGCTCTTCAACTGAACCTTGGGAGTTCAGTCTGTTACTCTGATGAGGGTATCTGTCTCTATCTCCATCCATCACCAGATGAAGATTCTGTGGTGATATTCGAGATAATATCAGTGTGATAGCATGGTAAAACTAGTTCAGGCACATTCTCTGCTGCTGCCCAAGGCCCTAGCTGGGACATCCTTGTAGACACCTGGGATCCCCTCTAGAGCCAAGTCTCTTGCCAACCCTAAAATGGCTCCCTTCTCCCTTCTATGTCCCCCTCTTCCCTTCACCCATCCCCACCTTCACCCCTATCTCCAACCCCATGCTCCCAACTTTTGCCCGACGATCTTGTTTTCTTCCAATTTCCAGGAGGATCTATATATGTTTTTTGTTGGGTTTGCCTTGTGAACTATAGGCTTAACGGCCTTTGTTTATAGTTAGAGTCCACTAATGAGTGAGTACATACCATATTCATTTTTTTGAGTCTGGATTATCTCACTCAAGACAGTGTGTTCTATTTCCATCCATTTGCATGCAAAATTCAAGATGTTTTTGTTTTCCCTGTTGAGTAGTACTCTAATGTGTAGATGTATCACATTTTCTTTATCCTTTCTGCCATTGAGGCGCATCTAGGTTGTTTTCAGATTGTGGATAGTGAAAATAATGCTGATATGAACATAGTTGAACAAATGCTTTTATAGTATGATTAGGCATCTCTTGGGTATGTTTCCAAGAGTGGCATTGCTGAATCCTGAGGTAGGTTGACTCCCAATTTTCTGAGAAACTGCCACACTGATTTCCAAAGTGGTTGTATAAGTTTGCACTCCCACTAGCAATGGATGAGTGTTCCCCTTACTCCACATCCTCTCTAGCCTAAGTTGTCATTGGTGTTTTGTATTTTAGCCATTCTGACAGGTGTAAGATGGTATCTGAAAGTTGTTTTGATTTGCATTTCCCTGATAGCTAAGGAAGTTGAACATGTCCTTAAGTATCTTTTGGACATTTGAACTTCTGTTGAGAATTCTCTGTTCACTTCAGTATCCCATTTTTAATTGTGTTATTTAGAGTTTTAATGTCTAGATTCTTGAGGTTTTTTATATATTTTGGAGATCAGACCTTTGTCTGATATAAGGTTGGTGAAGATATTCTCCCATTCAGTAGGTTACCTTTTTGTCTTAATGACTGTGTCCTTTGCTTTACAGAAGCTTTTCAGTTTTAGGAGGTCCCATTTATTCATCAATGTTCTTATTGTCTGTGCTACTGGAGTTATATGTAAGATGTGGTCTCCTATGCCCATATGTTGCAGGCTATTACTCACTTTCTCTTCTATAAAGTTAAGTATGATTGGATGTATATTTAGGTCATTAATCCATTTGGACTTGAGTTTTGTGCATGGTGAGAGATATGGATCTATTTTCATTCTTCTACAGGTTGACATCCAGTTTTACCAGATCCATTTGTTAAAGATGCTTGCTTTTTTCCATTGGATAATTTTAGCTTCTATGTAGAAAATCAGATGTTCATAGGTTTATGGATTAATGACTGGGTTCTCAGTTAGATTCCATTTGCCAATGCCTCTATTTTTATGCCAATACCAAGCTGTTTTCAATACTGTAGCTCTGTAATAGAGTTTGATATCAGGGATGGTAATGCCTTCAGAAGTTCCTTTATTGTATAAGGTTATTTTGGCTATCCTGAGTTTTTTGTTTTTCCATATAAAGTTGATTATTGTTCTCTCAAGGTCTGCGAAGAATTCTGTTGGGATTTTCATGGGGATGCATTGAATCTATAGGTTGCCTTTGATAGAATTGCCATTTTTACTATTTTGATCCTACCAATCCAAAAGCATGGAAGATCCTTCCATTTTCTGGTATCCTCTTCAATTTCTTTCTTCAAAGACATAAGGTTCTTTTCAAATAGATCTGTCACTATCTTGGTTAGTGCCACCCCAAGATACTTTATGCTATTTGTGGCTATCTTGAAAGGTGATGTTTTTCTGATTTCCCTCTCCACTTTCTTTATCCTTTGGTATAAGAGGGCTACTAATTTTTTTGAGTTGATCTTGTATCCTTCCACATCACTGAAGGAATTTATCAGCTGTAGGAGTTCTCTAGTAGTGTTTTTGGGGTCACCCATATCATACACTATCATATCATCTGCAACTAACAAAAGTTGACTTCTTCCTTTCCAATTTGAATCCTCTTGATCTCCTTATGTTGTCTTATTGCCATTGCTAGAACTTCAAGCACTATATTAAAGAGATATGGAGAGAGTGTACAGCTTTGTCTTGTTCCTGATTTTAGTGGAATCATTTTGAGTTTCTCTCCATTTAATTTGATATTAGCTTTTAGCTTGCTGTATATTGCTTTTATTATATTTATTTATGATCATTGTATCACTAATCTCTCCAAGACCTTTATTATAAAGGAGTGTTAAATTTTCTCAAATGCTTTTTTGACATCTAATGAAATGATACTATGATTTTTTTTTATTTCAGTTTATTTATACGATGGATAACATTGGTAGATTTTCGTATGTTGAACCAGTTCTGAATCTCTGAGGTGAAGCCTATTTGATCATAATGGATGATTTTTTGATGTGTTCTTGGATTCAGTTTGCCAGAATTATATTGAAAATTTTTGCATTGATGTTCATGAGTGAAATTGGTCTGTAATTCTCTTTCTTGGTTGTGTCTTTATGCGGTTTTGCTATCAGGGTAACTGTAGCTCCATAAAAAGAGTTTGGTAATGACTTCTGTTTGTATTACATGGAACACATTAAAGAATATAGGTATTAGCTCTTCTTGGATGTTCTGGTAGAATTCTGCACTAAATCCAATTGGTCCTGGGCTGCTTTTTTTTTTTTTTTTTTTTTTTTGGTTGAAAGGTTTTTGAGAACAGCTTCCTCATGACTTATTGGTCTATTTAAATTGATCATCAGGTCTTGATTTAACTTTGGTATATGGTATTTATCAAAAAAATGTGCATTTCTTTTACATTTTCCTATTTTGTGGCATATAGGCTTTTGTAGTAAGACCTAATGATCCCCTCAATTTCCTCAGTGTCTGTTGTTACGACACCCCTTTCATTTCTGGTCTTGTTAATTTAAGTGTTCTCTATCTACCTTTTGATTAGTTTGGATAAGGGTTTGTCAATCATGTTGATTTTCCCAAAGAACCAGCTCTTTGGTTCATTGATTCTTTGGTTTGTTTTCTGTGTTTTTGTTTTGCTGATTTTAGCCCTAAGTTTGATTATTTCCAGTCTTCTACTCCTCCTAGGTAAGTCTACTTTTTTTTCTAGAGCTTTCAGGTATGCTGTTAAGTCTCTAATGTGAGCTTTCTCTGTTTTCTTTATGTGGGCACTTAGTGCTATGAACTTTCCTCTGAGCACTGCTTTCATAGTGTCCCATAGGTTTGGGTATGTTGTGTCTTCATTTTTGTTGAATTCAAGGAAGACTTTAATTTTTTTCTGTATTTCTTCCTTGAGCCAGGAGTGGTTCAGTAGTTGATTGTTCGATTTCCATGAGGTTGTAGGCTTTCTGGAGGTGGAATTGTTGTTAAATTCTAACTTTACTCCATGGTGATCCAATAAGACACGGGTAATTATTCCATTTTTTTTTATCTGTGAATGTTTGCTTTGTTACTGAGTATGTGATCAATGTTCAAGAAGGTTCCATGAGATGTTGAGAAGAAGGTTTCTTCTTTCCTGTTTGGGTTGTATATTCTATATATGTCTGTTAAGCCCATTTGATTGATTATATCTGTTAATTCTCTTTTTTTTCTCCGTTAAGTTTCTTTCTGGTAGACCTGTCCATTGGCAATAGAGGAGTGTTGAAATTTCCTACTATTACTGTGAAGGATTTGATGAGTGATTTGAATTCTAGCAATGTTTCTTTTACATATGTGGGTGCTTTTATATGAGGGGCATAGATATTCAGGATTGAGACTTCATCTTGAGGAATTGTTCCTGTTATGAGTATAAAGTCTCCTTTTCCATCTCTTCTCATTGATTTTAGTTTGAAGTCAATTTTGTTAGACATTAGGATAGCCACACCCTGTTGTTTCTTAGGTCCATTTGATTGGAAAACCTTTTCCCAACCCTTTACTCTGAGGTAGCATCTGACTTTGAGGTTGTGGTGTGTTTCTTGTAAACAGCAGAATGTTGGATCCTGTTTCTTATCCATTCTCTTAACCTGTGCTTTTTTATAGGTGAATTGAGTCCATTGATATTAAATGATATTAATGACCAGTGGTTGTTACCACCAGTTATTTTTTGGTGGTAGTGTTTGTGTGTTTCCCTTCATTGGGTTGTGTTTGTGGAGGGTTGTCAGATGTCTGTGCTTTTGTGGGTTTTGTTTGCTTCCTTGGGTTGTGGTTTTCCTTCTACTACTTTCTGTAAAGATGGGTTTGTGGTTACATATAAAAATATGAAAGGCTTCATGAATTTGTGTGTCATCTTTGCCCAGGGCCCATGCTAATCATCATGTTAGTGTTCCAATTTTAGTATATGTGCTGCTGAATTGAGCACCAAACATACTTTCTAAAATTTCTACATTTGAATCAGATAAGAAAAATGTCATCCATGTAATAATAGATTATAAACCTAGGAAATTGCCTATGCATAATTTTCAATGCCTTTCTGACAAAATATTGCACAGGGTGGGGCTATTGAGCATTACCTGTGCAAGGATGGTCCATTGATATTTCCTAGTAGGCTGAGAATTATTATAACTAGGCACTGTGAAGGTAAATTTTTCTTTGTTCTTTTCTTTTTCCTTTTTTTATTATTTAATTAAAAATTTCCACGTCCTCCCCCCTCCCATTTCCCTTCCGCTACCCCCATCCCCCTTCCCCTCCCTCTCCAGTCCAAAGAGCAGTCAGGGTTCCCTGGCCAGTGGGAGGTCCAAGGTCCTCCCCACTCCAACCAGGACTAGGAAGGTGAGCATCCAAACAGACTAGGCTCCCACAAAGTCATTACATGCAGTAGGATCAAAACCCAGTGCCATTGTCCTTGGCTTCTCAGTCAGCCCTCCTTGTCAGCCATGTTCAGGGAGTCTGGTTTGATCACATGCTCCATTATCCAGCTGGCCTTCGTGAGCTTTCATTAGATCAGCCCCACCATCTCAGTGGGTACGACATTGAGCCTATAATATGAGATCCTAGAGAAGCTAAATAAGAAGGTAAACCCAAAGAAAAACATAGGGTTTTCCTCCTGATATTGGAAGGAGACAAGATTGCCAGGCAAAAATTGGAAACTTGGGGGTGTGGATGGGGTGGGGGTAAGGGAAAATGGGGAGAAAAATGTGAGAAGGGGAGGATGGGAAGAGTTTGGGGGAATGGGATGATTGGGATGGAGGAAGGATGGATATGGGAATAGGGAAGTATATATCTTAATTAAGGGAGCCATTTTAGGGTCGACGAGATACTTGACTCTAGAGGTGTTCCCAGGTGTCCATGGAGATGTCCCTAGCTAGATCCTTGGGCCACTGAGGAGAGGGAGCCTGAAATGGCCCCATCCTATAGCCATACTGATGAATATCTTGCATATCACCATAGAAACTTCATCTGGCGATGGATGAAGCTAGAGACAGACACCCACATTGGATCACTGGACAGAGCTCTTTGTTCTTTTCTTGTAAATGTGTAGTGAAGGAAGTGGTGCAGGAGAATTGTCTGTATTCTGTCAATTATGTTTTAAATAAACGCTGATTGGCCAGGCAGGAAGTATAGATGGGTCAACCAGACAGGAAGTAGAGGCAGGGCAATGAGAACAGGAGAATTCTAGGAAGAAGGAAGCCCATTCTTCTCCCAGTTCTGCCCAGATCACCAAAGAAGCAGGATGTGACCTGCTCCACTGAAAAAGGTACTGAGCCATGTGGCTAGCAGAGATAAGAATAATGGGTTAATATAAGCCACAAGAGCTAATAAGAAGCCTGAGCTAATGGGCCAATCAGTTTATAAATTATGGAGACCTCTGTGTGATTCTTTGGAACCTAATGACTGCGGGAACTGGGCAGGACAGAAACTCCATCAAGCAGGCCCTCATGCTACAAGAAACAATTGTACAAAACAAAACTATGAGAGGCCATCCTTTTGGTAATAGAGAAGGCAGAGGAATTGCAGACTATAGAGAGCTTATCATTGAATAACCTTGCAGATAGCTCTAAGTTCTGTCACCATTCTCTATTTTCTGGATTTCTTTATAGAAACAAATACAAGAGAATTCCAAGGGCTGGTGACTCTTCAATATGGTGAGTGTCTAGTTGCTTTTCTAACAGCTGTTCTAGAGCCATCAACTTTTTTTTCAATTACAGGCCACTGTTTAACCCATATTGCTCTCTCACTTAACCATTTTAAAGACAGGGCTGTTAGTACCTCTGAAAGTTTATTAATTGCATTATGTTCTAGTACAGCCTGAATGGCTGGTGTCCGACATTTATACTTTCTAACATTTAAAACAGAAACACAAGTTTTAGGGGCTGCAGGAATATTAATTTGGGTATTTTATTGCTGCAATAGGTCACGACCCAACAAATAGACTGCAATATTAGCTACATATGGCCTCAGTCTTCCTTTTTACCCTTATGGTCCTACATATTCTACCAATCCCATGCTTTGTTTCACCTGAGATAGAGTTCCAATTCCTAGGAACTGAACATCTACCTCTTGAAGAGGCCAATTTGGATTCCAAGATTCTGGAGTAATGATACTTACATCCACACCTGTGTCTAGTTGGCCTTCAATAAAAATGCCATTTATACACACTCTTAGATTTGGTCTTTGATCATTTATATAAATCTGCTAGAATATACATTTTCTATGTCCTGCTGGAGCTTTTGACTCATCCTCCACCTTTATTCCATCATCCTAACCAGTATTGTTCTTACAGTAGGCAGTGGATTTTACTTTTATTTTCAAAACAGGGTTTCTCTGTAGTTTTTGTTGCTGGCAGTAGATTTTTTAAATTTTCCTGGTGAAACATGCTCTACACAGTAGCTGGGAATGACTGGCTTGTATTTCCCAATGGTATTGGATTGCCTTTTCTTTTTTTTTTTTTTTGTTGACCTACATTCATTGGTCCAATGTTTGCCTTTGTCACACTTTCTACATATACCTGAAGTCTGAGTCCTCCTATTCTTTCATTATTCCTAGAAAATTTTGTTTACAATCACTTCTCAGATGTCCCGCTATACCACGATTTAAACATTTAGTATTTTGATGTCTCTTCATACCATTGGAAACTGCTTCTCCTACCCAAGCTTCAGTATCATAGTCAAGTGTCTCAACATTCATTGAATGCAAGGTCCAATCATCCATGGGTACTGATCTGATCTTTACAGGCCCAAAGTCTCTTTTACATTCTAAGGTGGCATTCTCATAAGTGAAAGATTAAATTATTATATGTCTAACTTTTGGGTCAGTTACCCCTTAGTTAATCTTTGTAAAAAGTCTCTAAAAGTTTCTCTCAGATCATGTTCAACCCCAATATACGATTTAGCTCTCTTTCCTAGTTCCTCAATCCTGTCACAAGAATTTGAATGTGCTGTGTTACACAGGAACAATGTGTGTTCATTGTAAAGAGCTTGGTCCTAAAGATCAGAGTAAAATCTCTTGCCCAGAATTTGATCTTGGGAAATCTACAATCTTTTTGCCTTTCCCTGTTAGTCTAAAAATTTAGCTTCTTCTCTCCAATAGCACTGCCAAAGCAACTGCAGTACACTTTCTAGAACTGCTGAGATTAACTGAGTCCAGTCTTGTGGTGTTGCTTTGTTACTGGAAGTTTACATTTTGGCCATTTCTCTAACAAAAGACAAATGTATTCCATGAGATACAATTGCTTGTTTAATTTCTTTTAGATCAGCCATATGTATAGGCTCCCATATATATTCTTTGGCCACCTTGGGGTATTTTGTGCCAGATACTCTTTCTAATGATATCCCCAGAAAGGCCAGTATAACTCTGGATAAGCTATCCCAGAGTTTGGTACATACTGATGAGGCTAAATTTTGTCTTTGTACCTTTTGTCCCTGGTCATCAAATTAGATAAATTCCTCAATCTTTTCAAATCTACTACTGCCTTTTGTAAAGTCTAGATCTCTTGTCTAGTATTTTGTTCGAATGCCCTCATTAAGGATTCCAAGGTATGAAGTCTGTCCAGTAGAGACAATATCTCATCCTTGCACATCATTTTTATAGCATGCATATTACCTTCCTAGAGAGACATTATATCAGTCAAACTATCATAGCCCTTTGACAGAGTCTAATTAATACATTCAATAGTATGAATTCTCTCAGACAATGTCTGAGTACCCTCTGTCATAGACTGGATTTTGGTTGTCAAATTGGCTGTGTCCTTCTCCAGAGTGTTGAATTTTCCTTTTAATAGATTAGTATCAGTCTATAAAGATTGTATTATTTCTAAAAGTGTCACATTCTTTGCACCTATTGTCAAACCATGTTTTTAAAGGTACAATATGAAGAAAAAACTGAGTACCAATATCCAATAAATGAATGTGTCACAATAACCATTTTAGCCTTGCAGAACACAATCCATAGTATTAGCAAAAAAGTTACTAAAAGTTTCAAGAATAATGTTATCTGCCATTATATAACTTTTGAGCTTATTGATTTATTAATTACCTGTTATGAGATCTGGTAAATTGTTTTAGGTGTAACAATCTTTAGTGTCCAGCAGGTGTACTGGTTGCCAAGTTGTGACTAGTGGCACAACCTGGTGCCAGCAACAGTCCTGAGCTGCTTAGGTTTCCCCTTCCTTGGTGCTGGCTAAATACTGAGAAATATGCTTTACTTGACAAATTAAAAGCAATTATATCAATACTGTACACAGAGCGAGAAGACCAGAACTCAGGAGTCGGGAGTACAAACAAGAAGCTGTGTAGAAGCTGTGTAAGTCATCACACAGCAGGGAATGCTGGAGGGAATGCAGCAGTGGAGGAGTTGTGCAGGAGCTTGGGAAATTTTCAAGTTGCTGCATGCAATTAGCTTTGCTGTGGCACGTGTTTTTACAAAAATTTGCTCATGTAAAATCAATAAAGGTGGGTGGAAGTGGGAGACTTTCAGGACCATGGACCAGTTAGGCCTTTAGGCCATTCACCCTGTAGGTGTGGAGTCTGAATTCATATGGGCGCCAGATGATGAAGGATGCTAAAAATGCAACCCTGCACTAGCTCAGAATATAATTGAGTATAATAAAAGGTTATTTATTTAGGGGTAGACCCACAGATCAAATCTCTGCTCAACCAATGAACAGCAACCAATCACAGCAGCTGGAAAACAAAGAGAGAGGCCAGACACATGCTTTACATCAGTATATATAGTATATGAGGCCACTCTCGATTGGGTAGGTAACTTAAAGGCTACTGGCTACAGGAATTCCTACAGCAGAGTTGCCTTTGTTGTGTGGTTTTATCAAATTAATAGTAAAAGAACTAATACAGTGTACAATCTGTCACTTGAAAGGGAAGTGAGCTTTAGGGGAATAATGAAGAAACACAGAGTACTAGAAAAAGGCAGTCTTGGGGCTCTGGTCACCTTATAAAGAAATAACCAAACTGGGGAAAAAAGGGTTATGCAATTCTAAGTAAGGGCTAAAAAAGGTGGGAAAACCCAACATAATCTATCTTCAAACAGGATTGGCTGTTTTGTGATTGTGATCTAACAGTACCTCCTACCATAGGGCCTGATGTAGGATTCTGCTCAACAATGACTACAACTGTACTGCCCTGAATGCACCCAACTTCGTCTGTTCAACAAGTTGGGTTTCAGAGATTTCTCCAGTAAAGCAAGTATAATCCTGGCCTTCTCATTGAAATCCTATACAAAACAATGATGCTCTGATACACTCAAAATACAATCCACTTATAATAAATTTGTGGAATTTGTTTGTTTGTTTGTTGTTTTGCTTTTGTTTTCTATGCATGTTGTTATGTAATGTCATTGGTTATTTTAAATCTAATATGAGATTTTGAAAATGGACTCAGTCTGGACAACAGAAGGACTTTATGCTGATATAGAAGAGTCACATGTAAGAATTTTGGCAGAGACTAAATCATATGGGTGGTTTTATCCTTCCTCAAAATATCTGTGAAAGTAAGAGGAGTTCTGGAACAATAAGGAAAAGTGCATGTACATTTAAAAATAATGCTCAGCCATTATGACTTTTTTATTATTTTGTAATGAGTCTAGGGAGCCCTATCACCCTGCCTCATAAATGTTCTTTCACTGTACTTCTCAGCAATTTGCTGGAGTAAAAACAATTAGAGCCTGTGAGAAGAAAGTCATCTTACAACAAATAGACATTACTGTGAACATTGATGAGTAAAAGCTAGAATCTTAAACTCAATTCTTTAACTTCAAAAAAGAATGTTCTCCCAATAGATCAGCTCCACTGTCTAAGTGGGTGGGTGCATCCCTCGTGGTCCTGACTTCTTTGCTCATGTTCTCCCTCCTTCTGCTCCTCATTGGGACCTTGGGAGCTCAGTCCAGTGCTCCAGTGTGGGTCTCTGTCTCTATCTCCATCCATCACCAGATGAAGGTTCTATGATGATATGCAAGATATTCGTCAGTATTGATCTAGGATAGGGTCATTTCAGGGTCCCTATCCTCAACTGCCCAAGGAACTAACTGGGGACCTCGACTTGGGCACCTGGGAGCCCCTCTAGGGTCAGGTCTCTTGCCAACCCTAAAGTGGCTCCCTTAACTAAGAATTGTGGTTCTGTGCTCCCCTGTCCAACCTTCCTTTATCCCAATCCTCCTGTTTTCCCAAGGCCCGACCTCCTCCCCTTCTAACTTTTCTCTCCCCATCTCCCCTTACCCCCATCCCACACCACCCCCAAGATCCCAGTTTTCTCCCCGGCAATTTTGTCTACTTCCCATAGCCAAGAGGATAACTATATGTTTTTCCTTGGGTTTCCCTTCTTACTTAGCTTCTTTAGATTCACCTATTGTAGACTCTGTGACCCTTATTTATGGCTAGAAACCAATTATGAGTGAGTACAGCCCATGTTCATCTTTTTGGGAGCTCACCAAGACCAGCTGGACTTTGACTGAAAAAGCATGGGATAAAACTGGACTCTCTGAACATGGCGAACAATGAGGGCTGATGAGACGCAAAGGACAATGGCACGGGGTTTTGATCCTACGTAATGTGATGGCTTTGTGGGAGCCTAGCCAGTTTGGATGTTCACCTTCCTAGATATGGACGGAGGCGGGTGGTCCTAGGTCTTACCACAGGGCAGAAAACCCTGACTCCTCTTTGGACTGGAGAGGGAGGGGGAAAGGAGTGGAGGGAGGGGGAGAAGGGTGGGAGGAGGGTGCATAGGGTGGGAGGAGGGGGAGGGAAATGGGAAGCTGGGAGGAGGTGGAAACTTGTTTTTTTCCTCCTTTTCTCAATAATAATAATAAAAAAGAATGTTCTCACCTCCTCAGCCCTCTACACATGAGATTTCATTTTCATAGGCATTAATTTTATAGAGCAGTGTTCTCAGTAAAATCCTTGCCTTTCTTCTCTTTCACAAGTAGCTCAGGAGCTAGAACTATGATCTAACCCCTTGAGTTAATAAGAGGAAAATATCAAGGAGTGTGATAAGTAAAAACTTCAGATGATCCTTTTCAAAACCATAGTTTAGCCTTGCTAGCAAAAGAGGAAAACAGTTTCTGTCATGCTTCCTCATCTATCTGGGCCACTGTGTTCTCCCACTGCTATCACCTGTACCACAGTAATAGTCACCTTCATCTTCAGGCTGAATGTTGGAGATGCTTAAGTAGCGGTGAGCTCCAGAGCTAGAGCCAGAGAAGCGATCAGGGATCCCATCTGCTTTGCCATGGTTTCCATTACTGTAAACATACATCAGATACTTAGGAGCCCTGTCTGGCTGTTGCTGGTACCATGCAATACCATAGGTGCTGTGATCACTACTCAAGGTGCAGGTCAGTTTGACTGGGGCTCCCAGTGAGGCAGAGACTGTGGATGACTGAGTCAGCACAGGCTGGCAGAAAGACCCTGGAAATAAAGAAATGTATTATGTCCTGAGGTGAGAGAAGAGGAGAGAATATACTTTATTGTCAGTTGGTTTTCCTAAACTAGCACCATGGTGCAGATGATTCTACTGACCTGTACAATGAAGGAGGAAGAAGAGGAGAGGAATCCAGGCCATGGTGCAGACACCACTGAGCTCTGCTGAGACAAACATGGTGTGGGTCTGTCTTATACTTCAACATTTCTCAGAGATCTGACAGGGCCCTTCCTACAAATATGCAAATTTGTCTTGGTCAAGAAACTCTTTCTTAGGTGTTTATGTTATCAAATTTTGGGTGTCACTTCCTTCCTGAATCTGTGCAAGAGACCACAGTAGCACAGCTGCAGGGCCTAGTAGATCATGAATAAGAAAGTAGATGTAACAAAGAAGTAGATGTTCTTATCTCAGCTTAGAGTCTCCAGATCTTTCACTGGAACATATGGAACCCCCACTAAGTAGGTTTAGGTCTATCATGTCTGTGAGGACCATACTTTTCCAAGGCTTTTTCTACTAAGCATTTCTGGTCAAGGTCAGAAGCAGTTACCTCCTCTGAGGCTGACTTTTGCATCTTCTCTTTAGTTTTCTTCTTTCCAGTTGTAACACCATGTAGACCAGTGTTCTTACCTTATGATTTATAACCCCTACAGGACAGATGTCATAAAGCAGATATCCTATTCATTAAATATTGCATTATGATAAATAACAATAGAAGAATTACAGTTATGAAACAGCAATGAAAAAATCTATGGTGGGGTCACCACCAAATTAGAAAATGTATTAAGGAGTAAGAGCATTAGAAAATTGGAGAACCAACGTTGTATACTTTAATTTGTAAGGATCTCTTTATTCAAGGACTTTTTCTACTTATGCTGAGGACAGAGAAATTTACTCTATAAGTCTCTTCTCAGAATGCCCAAGAATCCAGACTTATTCTCTCTACTCGGTTCCTCAGAAGATTGACCCACAGAGACAGACTGATGAATATTAGTGTTTAGAATGATAAATATTATACTATATGACTCTCTTAATGCATTATATATAAAAATTTTTGAAAATTGCATGTCGATACTAAACAGAATTGTTAGTAAGATGGGAGTTAAGATTAAAGAAATGTGCACAAATTAACAAATACATTACAAATTATTGCCCAGTTTGTTAGTTCTTTGAGAAGGCAGCAACAACATACAAACCTATAAACAGAGAGTTAATACAAGCGACTTGTGTTATCACATGTTTTTTTTTTTGGAGGCCAGTTTTGAAAACAGACACACTGAGATAAGCGCCCTATGGCCTCTTCCTTCCCTCTTTGTCCCTGTTATTTGTGGACAATCTTAGGTTATCATTGGTCAGCAGCTACAGCGCCCTACACACACATCAGTCTTCATATCAATCCCATGCTACCTCCACATGTTCTCAGAGCCATCTTAGGAAACACAGGGACTCACTGTGCTTCAGCATGAACTCATCTGACTAAACACATCTGCAACAGTACTTACAATCTTATAATGAGATTATATACAATATCACTCAGATTTATCACATCACCATATCTTCCCTAAGGAGCAGTATGTTAATCTAATGTCAGAGAAGAGATTATTTTATCTATACCATTCATCTATATTATTATATTTTAACATTTATATAATATATAGTATATTGGTTATATTATATATTACTTATATATAACATAGGATATATTTATAAAGTAATTATATAATATGTTATGTATATAATAGTATATATTATACAACATATATTATATATAATATTGTAATAACATTCTATATTAAAGATATAATACATAGTTTTATACTTTTTAAAAGCTATACAATGAAGCCGGGTGATGGTGGTGCACACCATTAATTCCAGCACTCAGGAGGCAGAGGCAGGAGGATCTCTGTGAGTTTGAGACCAATCTGGTCTATAGGAACAAGAGCTAGTTCCAGGACAAAACCCACAAGGAAACCTTGTCTCGAAAGAACAAAAAAAAAGAAAAGAAAAAGAAAAAAGAAAAACTATACAATAAGTTCCATCACAGAAAATGCCTCTCTCTAAAGATGTGCTGACTCTAGTATTTCAAGCAAATACATATGGGAGGAATAAAATACCTTGCAATACTTTACTTCTGGTTTTATGCTTTTATTCTCTATTGCAACAGTTGACAATTATCTGTACCTTTTTATTCTAACTAGGACACAAATGAAGGAAGATACTTCCCTTCACTTTCTTGTCTGTGGAGAATTAAAACTAGAATGGCATCAGTGCCTAGTCATGAAGTCCGACTATCACGGGACAGTTCCTAGGCTCAGGCAGATGTGCATTTGTCTTTGTTTCACTGTGCTGATTACCTCTTTAAAGCAGAATATAGTAGCCTTCAGCACTGTCTTCAATCTTGTAACCCTACAGCCACAGAAGATTTATATTTAATATAAAAAGCGAGAGAAGAATGTGAGTGCCCATTATTGTTAGGGTAATCAGAGCCTAGAGGCTTGGTAAGGCTACTTCTGGAACCAGTGTGGAAAGAGACAATCAGGAACTGCTAGAGACCCGCATTGCTCAGCATCAGCACAGCTTGTGGAGGAAACCCTGAAAGAAATAGTTGTCAGGTTTAAGAATGGAACAAGAAATGAGAGGAGTCATTCCTAATGCAGACCTTTTTAATCTCAATGAAACATGACAGAGATGGAGGAAAGATGGGAGGATGAGACAGGTATACAGTTCATGCTTTAAATCTCCAGAAATGCTGGGATCCACAGATGCTGCTGGTCTCTGGGGTTGTCTGGGTATTGAGGAAATGGTGACTTGCTGCAGTATGAGTCTTTTACTATCACCATCACCACTAAATTACATCTCTTCAGCCCAGGGCACAATTCTACACCAAGGGAGGGTAGGGCAGCTCTGAGGATACACCTGCTGAGCTGTAACCTCTAATTCTTGTTGTCAGCTTGGGCCAGGAGACTTAGAGGAAGTTAGTAGTTAATTTCATGTCTTACCATTCTCTGAGAAGTACACAGTGCCCCCTACTGGACTGTGGATACTTACTTCCAATATCTTCAGTATAAGTATCCATTCTCTCTTCATTATAGAAGTAAATGAGTTTTGGATTTTTGAGGGCTTTTTAAAATTTATTTTTGATATATATTATGTGTTCATGTGCAAATACACACACACACAGACCTCCCAACAATACACATACACAGAGCCCAGTGCTATTGGATTCCCCAGAGCTGAAATTAAATCACCCTACATAAGTGCAAGGGATGAACTTAAATCTACTGTAAGATCACCATATTCTCTTAACCACTGAATCGTCTCTCCAGCCACCCAAAATACTTTAAAATTATGCATTCCTCACAAGATAATATTACTTAAAACTAGTTTAAACACATAAACTGTGTTATATCAATAAATCTATTGTATTGTGTAAATACACTTTAACAGCATAGTGACAAATCTTCCCTTCATTCTGAAGTGTATTTTTATAAAGTCTAGAACTACTTTAATTGGTAATTCAATTACTTTTGTTATATCTTTTATTTAGCTGCACTTTTTTCTGAAATAGTTCATGTAGGAAAGCTACAAATCACCAACCTTTATTAAATGAATTAAGAATACAGTGAGTCCTATAGAGTAGGCTCCTGCCTGGTAAAGACAAAGGATGGCTGGGGATTTAAAGACAGAGGCCGCAGTCACATCACACCTGCTGCAGGCTGGAAACATCTTTACAATGTTACCTTTGCTTTTGCAAAACATCACACAGGACATTCCCATAGAGTTATAAAACAGTTTCAACATATCAGAACCCTTTCTCAATAGGGATTGATACACTTTTTGGTGTCACAAAGCAATTCATTAATGAAAATAAGTTGCCATTTGTTAACAGGCTAATGTAACTTCCAAATGGAAGAGGTGCATGGACAGGGCAATCTTACTTTTTAAACCTAGGTCAATCCCAATGAAAAGGTATATCACTATAACTCTGTACCTTATACATTTAGTTGAGAGTATCTTTATAAAATTATCATTTGCAGGAAAAAAACATTCTACATGTAAATCTGGAAATCTGAAGACTATTTAGATGGAGAGAATCTGGTTAAGTCTTACCTGAATCTCTCTCCACTCTTCATATGATGTCTCTGGAAGGAGTATTGTGAAGGTACTAATGCATTCCATTCTTGTGATACCTTTATGAGAGACAGTCATGACCTGTTTCCACATGAATTGCACATTTCATTCACATTCATTCCTTATCCCGAAAATGACTAGAGTGGAGGAAGCTGCAACTAAACAGAAAATAAAAACAGGCAATCACATGAAAGCCTCCATAGTGAAATTCTTCAGAAGTGTTCCTGCTCTAAGGAGAATGTATTCAATATCTCTTGGTGGTACCATGATCAGTGCAGTACATCAGCCTCAGAGAAACAGGGCAGAATGTTCCATGCCTGAGGACTATGTCATTTGGGGTCTCAAATGAGCATCCAAAATCATGAAGAGAGTTGTTCAGACCATATCACATGGTGTACCTTTGTTCATAATCATAAACACTGCTATTTTCATTTTTATAAAATAAATAATGTTCTTTTCAAAGTTCAATATTTTTTTCTTTTTAAAGATAAAGGATGCTGCTACTTTTCCTTCCTTTTAAATATTCATGGTCTCTTTTCACTTAATTTGAATGCTCATGGTCTCTTTTAACTTTACTTAGTCCTGTGTTACATGAGGACATTTCCAGCAAAGCATGTTAAGTATAGTGAATGTGTTCCCATACAGAATTCCCTACTTCCCTATGGAATGTAGTTTTCCAACACATTTCTTCATCCACCGTAATGGGTACTAAAAGGAAGAAAGAAGGAAAGAAAGAAAGAAAGAAAGAAAGAAAGAAAGACAGCTTTATGTCTCAGAGATAAGAAGCCAGAGCTATTCAAAGCCAAGATTCTTTTTTTATTATTTATTTATTTATTTATTTATTTATTTATTTATTTATTTGGTTTTTCGAGACAGGGTTTCTCTGTAGTTTTGGAGCCTGTCCTGGAACTAGCTCTTGTAGACCAGGCTGGTCTCGAACTCACAGAGATCCGCCTGTCTCTGCCTCCCGAGTGCTGGGATTAAAAGCGTGCGCCACCACCGCCCGGCATATTTATTTATTTATTAAAGAT